TCCACGGAATACATTTCATGAAATCCTTCTTCTCTTATTTGTTTTAATATTCCGAATATCTTTTAAGCGCATCATCCACTCTTGCACACATTCTAAGTGGTTTCAAACTACCGTTCTCCAAGCTAACAACAAGACAAAGAAAATAAGATACACCGGTAAGAGATACGCTTATAAATATGTAACGACCAGCTGTTGATGCGTTTTCGTCTACCCTGTAGGTAGGTACGTTGTTGCAGGGGGTGTGGAGAGCAGTGAGTTTGGTGGTGGCCACGAGAATGTGGAAGGGAAAAGAGGAAGAGATAAAGGGGAGCCAACGACTCAACAAGTACACAGGATGTACTTGCATTTATAATTAAAGATAACTGACGAATGGTAAAGCTTGACAACGAAGTAGTGAGACAGTATAGAAATCGAAACTGGAAGGTGAATGAGTCAAATTTCGAGTGCGTTACGAATACACGGAAATACAGTACATTACAATTATTTGGATAACTTGTCAAATCACAGATCTTGGTATTGGTTGGATAAACTGTCACCACAAAAATTACGCTAGATATTCTTGTCATTCACCGGTTCAAACCAGACACCAATGTAATACCAGGTGCCTGATTCACATTGTGGCTTTTGTTACTATAATTGTTAACACTATTCACCTAACGATATTGTACAGGAGATGAATTTTTTGAACTACTACATGCTGAGTATTCCATACTGTACCATAAGTGTTGTTTCGAGTCATGCGTTTATTACTAGTATTATTAATAATAATAACGAGTAATACAGGGTAAGTAGCTCGCTAGTAAAAATGACTAAGGAAGAAGGACAGGCTTTCATGTCATGTATAGTATAATTAAGTGTTTTCGTAAAAACTGCCATAAGTATTTTTACATATATGATAGACATATATAGCAATCTGGCCTAAAACACTTACAAAGCATGGTGTCGAAAAAACCTGTCGGCTTCTTAAATAGACTGAAAGGTCCAGCGCTCCAAACAGAAGGGTATCACTTAAAGTTTGAACCAGAACTGAGTTATTTTGATTGATAATAGGTAATGGATACATCTATATCAATAAGTTTTAGGTCATAATATTAGTAGTTCTCAGCTACAGACTTCTAACATGTGGATGACTACGTCAGAAGTTTGTACTTTCTAGTGTCTGGTTAGATTTTATGACTGAATATTCCACATTATTTTATTTCGAAATCATTTTCCTGCTGAAGTTTTTTCGACATAAATTACTCTAGGCATGTACAGCTCAGAGCAGCCGTTTATTAGGAATCCTCTACATTCACTAGAATATCCCACTATCCTTCCTGGAGCTAACAAAGGATAGTTCGGCAAAGAAAATTTTCATTTAAACAAATCACTTCCAAAAGCTGTAGAATCATAATTATTATTGTTAGTCCTTTGGGTTCCTAATGGAACATAGGGATTCAGTAGCACGTCTCCAGTGAACTCTATTCTCTGAAATTTTTTGAACCTGGCTCCACGACAGCCCACAAGCTCTCATTTCCTCCTCCCACGATCTTCTCCATGTCACCCTCGCCACGGACGTCCAACTCGTCACTTCCCATCGAGGTTCCACTCGAGGGCCTGGCTTGGTGCGTGATGTCCTTAGTCGGCTTTCTCAGTGTATACCCAATCCATTTCCACTTCCTTCCAATGCATATTTGTTCAACTATAGGTTCTTGGTTGGTTCGTTGCCCAGCGACAGTTCCTTGTTGCCTATTCTTTCTGGCCATCTGAGCTTCAGTAACGAGCCAGCTTAAGCAGTTGTTGATGAATGTAGTTTATGGGAAACGCCTTTCGTAACGCTCCAAGTCTCTGAACCATACAGAAGCACTGACTTGACTGAAGTTGGTGTTGAAAATCCGGATCTTGTTCACGCTTTATGCTGAGTGCAGATCTCCACACTGGTTTCAGGCTAATGAACGCCTGTCTTGCTTTTCCGATTCTGACTTTGACATCCTCGTCTGTGCCGCCTGTAGTTGAAACAGTGCTTCCTAGATAGGTGAAGGAGGTTACTTCCTTTAAGTTTCTCCCGTTGATGGTGATTGGAGTTTGTTGTTGTTGTTGGTTGGGTATCTTCATCACCTCTGTCTTCTCTATATTCACTTGAAGTCCCGTCTTCGCTGCCTCTTCTATCAACTTGTTAGTTTCTGCCTGCAGATCTTCAAGTTTATGTGACATCAGGCACAAGTCATCGGCGAAATCCAAATCTTCTAGGTTCTTTTCCGCAGTCCAGCGTATACCCCTCTTCTCGCTCCCACTGTTTGCTGCATGATCCAGTCGACCACAATCAGGAATATCATGGGGGATAGTAGGTAACCATATTTCACTCCTGTCTTCACTTCAAAAGCATCACTGAGCTTCCCATTGTGAATTACTTGGCTGGCATGTGGCGTCTTCATGTAGCTGTTTTTGAATGAGGCAGGTAAAGGTTTGTGGTATTCCGTAGTATTGAAGCAGTTTCCAAACTACCTCTCAGTCGACGCTGTCAAAGGCCTTCTCAAAGTCGATGAAGTTGAGGTGTAGAGTTGACTGCCATTCTATTCTCTGTCCCATAATGCGTAGCGTAGCGTTGCAATTTGACGCGCACATGACTTGTACTTCCTGAAGCCAGCCAGCCTGTTCCAGTCGTAGTTTTGAATCCAGTGCTTCCTTTAGCCTCTGCAGGATGATGCGGCTCAATATTTTGCTTGCATTGGGTGGACAGGAGCATGATCCCTCTCCAGTTCTTGCAAAGACATAGGTTGCCCTTCTTCGGGGGTTTGACAAGGTAACCCTTCTTCCAATCACCAGGTATCTTCTCTTCCTTCCAGACTTTCTGCAATAGTGGTGTGAGCATGTCTGCTGTTATCTCTGCGTCTGTTTTCAGTGCTTCTGGTGGGATCCCATCTGGTCCTGCTGCTTTCCCACATTTCAGTAGCTTTATGGTGTTCAGGACCTCGGTTTTTGTTGGGGGATTTATGTTCACTTGTGGTTCAGCGGCTGCAGGTGGTATTTCTGGACGAAGTGCAGGTGGCGGTGGTGGTCGATTCAAGAGCTTCTTGAAGTGGTCAGCCCACTGTTTCCTTTGTTTCTCTCCAACGGTAATTAAATTCCTTTCATCATCTTTTATTGGTTTCGTCTGCGTTGATCTCTTCCCAGATAGTATGGTTATGGTTATTTGATGTAATGTTGTCAGGTCTGTGTCTCTCCTACCTGCAGCCTGTTCTGCTTCACTTGCCAGTGTTTTGTAGAAGTGTCTTTTGTCTTTCCACCCACTCTTCTTCACTTCTTTGTCCAGTGTTTTATACATTATGCTCAGTTCCTCTTGTCGTTGAGCATCCTTGCACTGGTTTATATTCTGTTTCACCATCCTCCTCTCTTCTATCAGCTTCAGTGTATCCGTCGAGATCCATTCCTTATCTTCTTTCTTCTTCCTTCCTAATACTGTTGTGCAGGTTTCTTTCCACATCTCTTTCAAAGACTTCCAGTGTTCTTCCACACAGGTTTCTTCAGGGATGTTCCTCAATATCTCCCATTTTGTCTTGATGGCTGACTGACGTGAAGATTTCCTTTGTAGTTTCATCCTTCAGTTTCCGAGTGTTGTACTTGAACTGTGGTCTATCACCAGCTTCCTTGAAGGCTTTTAACTTGATTTTGAAGGTAGGTTCCTTGCACTAGACAGTGAGTGCTGTGAACCTACATCTTCTCCTCTTCTTGACCTTGTGTCAAATAGACTGCGTCTCCACTTTTCTTGAGATTGAGATAAAGTCGACATGGTTTTTAGTGTGTCCATCTGGTAAAATTCATGTTGCTCGCTTTGTGGATATCCTTGTGCTTGAACACACTGCCTCACCTCCAATCACCAAATCGTTGAATACACAGACGATTCTCCATTCTCTTTCATCACCTCACCATGCACTTCTCGACCCATGGTTAGTTCTCTTCCTGTGTTGTCCCCTCCCAGTTTGGCATTCATGTAGCCCATTAGGATGGGTTTTAATATCGCCAACTGAGGTCTTGTCCAGTGGTGATTGAAGTTGTCTGCAGAATTCCTCCTTCTTTCTTCATTTGCATTATTTGTAAGTGCATAGCATTGTATGATTGTGACCTTCCTTCCTTCCTTTTGAGTTGAATCTTGCTGTCATGATCCATCTAGAGGAGATTGGTTCTCACTGTATGACAGCATTCGATGCTGTTGGAGACATCATGATAACCATCCTAAAACTCAGTGCGCTAGTGGTTGTCGTCTGGGTGACAATATCTGAGTAGATTATTGAATCTCCAGTTGACAGTTTAGAGAGTCCAATCCCATTCCATCTACTTTCGCAAGTTCCAAGCACTTCAATGTGATACCTCTTCATCTCGTTTGCAATCCGGGCTGCCTTGCTGGGTTCAAACATCGTACGGACATTCCATGTCCCCACGTTTACTTTCGCTTTCATCGAGAGAAGAGAAGACACATCGGCCAATTGGCTTCCCGAACACTTTCACCAACTGGCGTCATTTCGCCTCTCCGATTCCAGCGAGGAATAATTTTGTTATTATTTTTTATATATCGTTTGCGCCTCGAAGTTTCTTTAGCTGTCAGATTTGTTTTACGGGGTAGGGTTGCTAGCCCTATGCCCAACCTTCCCTCTTTACCCGGGCTTAGGACCGGCTAGTAACTAGTGAACTAGTTAACCAGGCGAGGTTACAATCATAATAATAGTTGCAGCAAATTATATTCCTATCAATTGCTAATGGGTCCATTTTTAATGAATTCATATTGATCCACTAGCTATTGAAGTATATTTATATTCTTGTAACTAAGATTACGACTGAATAGCTTTTGAAAGTACTTCATCAAAAAGAAAATTTCCTTTGCTGAATTGCCTTTAGTTCATTTTTAATTTTGGAGTTATCTAAATGCATTATTGCCTCTTTCATTAGTGAGAATGCAATGATTTTGAACATAGCTTTACCATATTTTCAGCCATTATGTGATCTACTTCTCTTTTTGTGATTAGATCCTTCTAGCCGAACGTCAGTTAAACTCTTCGATGTATTCTCTAATATCGACTACAAAAGATGCTAAACAACAGAACAATCGTGGTCCACTGCTTGAAGAGTACCGACGACATTTAATGAGTCTGGCGTATGCAATAGCAGCTGATGCACATGCACTATATACGACTGTATATGAAAACCGTGTCAAACATAATCGAAATTAGTCAAATAACAATGACAATAGCAATGGTAATACTACTAACAATTAATAACAGTAGCGTAAACTGTTTTTACTGCTATTTTTAAAACAATGTAACTGATTATTATGAATATGGCTTTTAATTTTAATGCCTCTAAAAACACCATGACATGTTGAAAAGGAGATAAGAATACTCTAAAGAACTTATCTGATTAATATTTACGCTACTGCTTTCACGTATCATATTACTGAAATCAGTAGGTTGTACATTTGTAAAGAAAGAAGTAATAAACATTCCTTTACTATTCGGTGGTATGTTACAGCTTACAAATTTGTTTCGCTGCCTAAAATATATTTGCATTACTGTTTTGAATTTCGAGGGACATTTTTTTGAAATATGTTCGAGGTTTTCTGCTACATGAAATTCAACCGCATCATATACGCATGGATCATAACCAATTGTTGTTACATTATTGTCATACTCAAGAAAAGGGGTCTACACAAAATTACAGATAGCATTACTTCACACACTGAATTAAACCAAATGGTTCTTTGAATATAAGCAAAAAAATATCTGATCAAGTTGCAAGAAGCCTTTCAAAGAATAACTTCAGAATGTACCAAACAACGTCATTCAATATAGGACATAATTTTCAGCAGTGAAAAAAACAATCAACTCAGATGACCTTATATGAATCATTTGTATATTTTATTAAACTCTGAATCTACGAAGCGTGTCCACTTACCGTAAGAAAGTATTAAGTCGTGGCTACTTGCTTATGTCACTCCAGATGTATTGTGTAACCACCAGGTCAGCAATATTGAGAATAGAAGCAAAGATCCAGAAAAAGTAAGTAAATCTCACAATCTGTTTATCAAACTTAAGTATTTTGACTATGTTCTACACATGCCAAATCCCTAGCTATTTTGGAAAACAGGCATGGCTGGACTGAAGCAAATTGGAAAATTTCTTAATAGCTGTGTTCGCTATCAATAAACCGGTTTTCATGTGCTTAAAGACACCCACCTTAAGCTAATCCAAGAAATATAGCAAATCCATTTTGGGTCCTTGAAATCTTATTATTCAGTGACTATACTTAGGTGACTCTGGTTAAGACAGGCAGAGCTTCATATATAAAAAGCGCCCGCCTTACTTCTGGGCTACCGAAAATTTTCCACGGAATACATTTCATGAAATCCTTCTTCTCTTATTTGTTTTAATATTCCGAATATCTTTTAAGCGCATCATCCACTCTTGCACACATTCTAAGTGGTTTCAAACTACCGTTCTCCAAGCTAACAACAAGACAAAGAAAATAAGATACACCGGTAAGAGATACGCTTATAAATATGTAACGACCAGCTGTTGATGCGTTTTCGTCTACCCTGTAGGTAGGTACGTTGTTGCAGGGGGTGTGGAGAGCAGTGAGTTTGGTGGTGGCCACGAGAATGTGGAAGGGAAAAGAGGAAGAGATAAAGGGGAGCCAACGACTCAACAAGTACACAGGATGTACTTGCATTTAATAATTAAAGATAACTGACGAATGGTAAAGCTTGACAACGAAGTAGTGAGACAGTATAGAAATCGAAACTGGAAGGTGAATGAGTCAAATTTCGAGTGCGTTACGAATACACGGAAATACAGTACATTACAATTATTTGGATAACTTGTCAAATCACAGATCTTGGTATTGGTTGGATAAACTGTCACCACAAAAATTACGCTAGATATTCTTGTCATTCACCGGTCCAAACCAGACACCAATGTAATACCAGGTGCCTGATTCACATTGTGGCTTTTGTTACTATAATTGTTAACACTATTCACCTAACGATATTGTACAGGAGATGAATTTTTTGAACTACTACATGCTGAGTATTCCATACTGTACCACAAGTCTCGTTTGGCATAAAGCTATTTTTACTATACTTTTGATTATGAATATACTGCTCTTGGATTGGTATTTCTTCTCTACGCACTCCTTTTTGTCCCCTTCCACATTTTGTCTTCAACTTCTTGTTTCTTTTCTTTTTGTTTTGTTATTTTTGGAAAGTTTAAATGTTCCAGTAACTTTTCTTATAGCACTTAACATTATCGGTCTTCGTCTTTTCCTGACATACATTCACTACGAGCGAAAAAAGGAGGGGGAATACTTCTTCTTTAGAAAGAAGTTTAGGTTATTTTTGATAAAATGTATGTAGTTGTTCATCTTACCTCTTTAGTCACCTTTTGAAAAGTTACTGTTATTACTGTTCACCCAAGTTCCGTTTAACAATAGAATAGGCGATCGAGACAGTTTTTTCATACAATTATGATAAATCATTTATGTTTAATGGTTTCTCAATCTACCATTGATTTGATAAACAATCAGTGAAAAGTGAAAATGGAGGAGACATTAGAAGACATAAAGTTGACAACAAAGTTATTACTTTCCAATAAAACTCGCGTTTTACAAACCTGAAATACAATTATGTAATTCATAGTCTACTATCATAGTTCTGGTAAGGTTTTAAATATCAAATGGTGCATGCAAACAGTGATTAGCCGTCACCTGCCATCATCCTGCACATTGTACTTAACTCTAGTTACGACTTTGGCTAGTTACTTTCATTATGTGTTCTGCGCTGCTTTGTGTAAGCCACAGTCGGGTCAGTTTGAATTCAAACTCATGAGGCTACATTTACAATCAATTTCATATTGTTGAGATGTAAAAGCCATCTCGACACATCTATGAGAATAAACAGAACCTACAGATTTCAAAATATGCCTTGAGAATATACAGAATGAATCGTAAAAACTTACAGTTAGCATTAATGAGGCTTACATTTCCTGTCTGACCTCCAGTAAAATATAGAAACTATGCTTGATCACATTCTTCGCGCGCATGGTGAACAACATCCTTAACTATAGTCACTGAAAGTTACCGAGGGATTTCAAGTTTAAAGAACTGATAGACGCAGACTACCAGTTAAGCGAATCTTCAATAAAATAAGCTTGCAATGAAATAAGTGTCCTTATTCCTACATTGCACTTAACTACAAAACATCACATATTTCGGGTTTACCTATGAAGGATATAAAAGTTGAAACAACTGTTTTTATCCTACAGTCTCTGCATATAATGGTGTAGTACACCTCTGATAATTTCTGTTTTATATCGTCACCTACCTCGTTATTCTTCCTATCACCACGACTGTTTTTGTTTATTTCAACTAGACTCAGGTTCGTCAATAAGCTATATTATAAACTTCATCCTTCATCAGACATTAATATGTGCGGTTACACACTGCACACTTATGTAGCACTGATGATAATCTTACAGAAAGTTTCATTTGTTTAGTAGGCCTTACGGTTTACCTGGTGGTTGCATTTCCAATGCATTTGGGTTCTAAATGGTTCACCTTCTTTAACATTTATTTCAAATAAAACGCTTTGTTCTGACAACTTTCTCATTGAAAGGATTTACCTGTTCTTCTTTCCAAGTATGAAACTAAATAATTTTTCCATACAGTTTTTATGCAAGGTGAACTTCAAGTGTAAGGACTCAAGAATAACCATCTTGAAAGATATCCTTCGATTCAGGTTAAAGTGGGCAGTAACTAACATATAAAAACTGTAAAGATTTTATAAGAATTCAGCTGTGCCTTTTATCTTTCATCACATAATTAATGACTTTAGTCACGAGACTTTAAAATAAGCATTAATCAGAGATTATTTTATTTATTCATTTGTCCCTTGGGTTCCTAGTGGAACATAGGGCTTCAGTACCACCTCTCCATTTCACCCTGTTCTCCACAGTCTTTTCAACCTGGCTCCACCACTGCCCACAAACTCTCATTTCTTCCTCACACCACCTCCTCCATGTCACCCTCAGCTGATACACCCAACTCGTTGTTTCCCCTTTAGCTTCCACTCGACGGCTTGGCCTGGCACGTGATGTCCCCAACCGGTAGTCTCAATGTATGTCTAATCCACTTCCACTTTCTTCTGTACATTTGTTGAGCGATAGGTTCTTGGTTGGTTTATTGTCAGCCGGAGTTCCGTGTTGCTTATTCTTACTACTCTGGCCATCTGATCTTCAGTATCGAGCCAGTATAGGCAGTTGTTGATGAATCTCTGTAGTTTGTTTGAAAGGCTTCTCGCAACGCGCCAAGTCTCTGAACCATCACAAAGAAACACTGACATGATATTCGTGTTTAAAATCCGGATGCTGTTTACACTTTATGCTGAGTGCAGTGCAGTGCAGTACAGTGCAGTAGATCTCCACACTGATTTCAGATTAACGAAGGCCTATCTTGCTGTGTTTCCGATCCTGGTTGGCTTTGACGTCCCCATCTGTGCGTGTGACGCCTATAGTTAAAGCAATGCTGCCTGGGCGGTAGGTGAAAGAGGCTACTTCCTTTAGATTTCTCCCGTTGATGGTGATTGGTGCTTGTTGTCGATTTTGTTGTTATTGGTTGGGTATCTCCATCACCCCTGTCTTCTCTACATTCACCTGAAGTTCCATCTTCGCTGCCTCACCTTCTCTGTCAACTTGTTAGTTTTTGCCTGTAGATCTTCGAGTCTGTGCGACAAGACATCAGACATAAACCATCATCGGAGGCGAAATCCAAATCTTTTAGGGTCTTTACACCGTTTCAGTCAGCGTATACCCATCTTCTCGATCCTCAGTTCAGTCCAGTCGAGTCGATCACAATCAGGAAGATCATCGGTGAATGTATGCAACCTTGTCTCACTCCTGTCTTCACTCCAAAGACGTCAGTGAGCTTTCCATTGTGAAGCACTTGTCATGTGGTACCATCATATAGCTGTGGAATGAGGTTGAAAAGGTTTGTGGTACTCCGCAATGTTGAAGCGTCTGCCAAATTACTTCTCGATAGACGCTGTAGAAGGCCTTTTAAAAATTGATGAATTTGAGGTAGGGAGTTGACTGTAGTGCTATGCTGTGTTCTATGATGATGCATAGCATTAGAGTTGCAATTAGAGTGGCCTCACCTCACCTCGCCTCTTCTGCCGACTTATCAG